AAAATATTTTTCTGTGACTAAACTTTGGTTTGTTACTCTAGACTGTGAATTATCATTCATTTTTATATATGTATGGCCAAATTTTAAATTATGTTATTTTCTGGATTTAAATATCACATACAACATAAGCTTAGAGGAAACACACTAAGATATTTTATGAGAATTGTATAATTTTGTATTCATTTTCTCCATTTGACATCACTTTCAAAAGACAGTTCAGTTGTTGCACCATGTACATAGGCCTCCCCTCACCAAAAAAATCCCTCAAAACATTATTACCGTTATGAATGTTAATGAAATAACTTGTAAACACTTAGTAGGATAATTCACGAAAGTCAATGGTGAATATGAACCACAATCATACTTTATTATTTATTTAACTATTATGTAATTAAAATACTTACCCTAATATTGTGGAAAAATGCCACCCAATACTAAAAATCACAGTCATGTTAATTGGCATACAATGTAATAAAATCAATTAAGCAACAAATATCGAGGAGCCATCAAGATACTTTTATACCTGGTAGAAATTAGTGGGAAAAACCTGATAAGGAAGAAATCAGATTCTATCAGGATTCAGTCTGCATCAGCTTCAGAGTTTAGTATGAGCCAAACAGCCAAGTTCCAAATCCATCCAATAGATAAGTACACGTACTCATATCTGTGTGTGCAATAATTCAGACACACAGAGAAAGAGCTTCTGAATGTTTTTTAAAATGTCCCTTTCCTTCATTTGGTGATCATGAATTGTCCTAGTCAATCTCAGTCTTTTAAGGTAGCACAATCCTGTCTGTATCATCTGGAGAGAGTTTTTAAAAATTAGAAATTCTATTATCTCACCCTCATAGACTTTGATTCTACTAGATCTAGGCATTTGCATTATTTTTATTGCCTGGTGTTGCACAGCCAGTCACCTAGAGGGTTAATAAGACCTAATGGACTGGACATTTTGGGGAAATCAATTTGCCAGAAATAGAAGATTATGCAGGCTGAAAGGAGGTAATTTTTATTTTGGGGAATTTCTTTCTAATAAGATGATGTATGAATAGAAGTATGAAAGAAGTAAGGTGGCCCCTCTGCCAATATGTAGGGAGAGTACATTCTAAGAGCCAAAAAAACAGGGGCACAAGTCCAAACAGAGGAGCTTGTTTGGCATGTTTGAGAAGTAGCAAGGAGACCAGTGTGGCTACAGCAGGATGGGTGAGGGTGAGAGTGGTAGAAATAAATCACAGACATAGCAGGAGAACAAATCATATAGAGCTTTGCCATGAAAACAACTTTGGATTGTAGCTGAAGGAGATGAAGAGTTATTAAATGATTTTATACAAAAGAAATGACCTAGGTAAAAAGCAATTGAGGTAATGAGATGGGCAAGGGACAATAAAAGGTAATAGGATCAATGAATTATAGTCTCTATGTGAGTGCAGAATTGTTAGAATTGGGGTGCTGGAGGGCATAAGGTGAAAAATGGGAGAGAGTGCACCTTCTCAGAGAGTAGCCTGGACCCAATGTAGGTTGTTGTGGATGTAGTAAGATTTGTCACTATTATCGTAGATTTCTATGTCTTGGAGAGCAGAAGTTGGCAGATACCGTGTTTTAGACAGTAAGATTCTTGAAATTGAGATTATAAAGAGGTTATTTGTATGACTGTGGAGGGGGGTGGCTGAAGTGGGGTGATGACATACATAGGAGGAGAGAAGGTCCAGAAACTTTAAGCTGAGGGAGTAGAGGGACTGTATGGGTACTGACATCACTAAGAATGGTTATAGAAAAATGTTGGAGAGAGTCATAGTGTCAGGAGCCAAATCTTCGTGAAATAAAGAGTATGACCTAGGGCTTCAGAGCTATCCACAACAAAGAGGGTGGAAGATGGTATAACCTGATGGCATGAACCTCAAAATTGAGTTATTCTGGGAAGGACGAGCCAAATCTTCGTGAAATAAAGAGTATGACCTAGGGCTTCAGAGCTATCCACAACAAAGACGGTGGAAGATGGTATAACCTGATGGCATGAACCTCAAAATTGAGTTATTCTGGGAAGGACGGAGAAAGAATAATCTAGAGATGACTTTGAGGTGCAAAGAGATCACCTGCTTTAACTACAGTTAAACTACAGGCTCAATTGTACTAAGGATGCAGTTGAGAAAGACATCACAACTTATAAGGAATGCAAGGGAAGTAATGTCTTCAGGGGAGATTCAGCTTTTGGTGAGAACAGGAAGGTAAAGGGAGCCTTCAGAATCACTTCCCATAGATACAGTTAAATACTTGAAAATGTGGAAGTGGCTTCAGAACTGGGTGTTGAGGAGAGGGTGGAAGAATTTGAAGGAGCAGGCTAGAAAAAGCCTAGCTGCTCGTAGAAGTTTAGAAGACAAGAAAACCAGAGAAAGTTCAGAACTTCTTAGAGAGTGGTTAAATGGTAGTGAGTAGAATGCTGATAGAAATATGGACAGTAAAGGCCATTCTGAGAAGATCTCAGTTGTAAATGAGAAGTGACTTATTGGAAACTGGGGCAAAGATCACTTTTGCTATGAGCTGGCAAGGAACTTTTGGCTGCATTCCGTTCACACCCAAAAGCTTTTTGGAATGTGGAACTTAAAGATGCTGAACCAAGGTATTTGGCAGAAGAAATTTCTAAACAGAAAAGAATTCAGGAAGCTGCATGGCTACTTGCAACAGCCTATGCTGAGTTATGGCAGAAAAAGCATGAAGTAAAGCCAGAATTTACAATGCAAAAGAAAACAGAGGGCAAAAAATTGGAAAACTTTCAGCCTGGCCACAAATGCAAGGGTGTAGCTCAGGGACCCTTTGCTAAGGAGATGAGCACAGAAGGAAGGGATTATCAAGAGAAGGAAAAGAAGACCTCGAAGGCATTTCAGAGATCTTGGAGGCTGCATCTTCTGTTAAAAACCCAGAGGACTAGGGAGACAGAATGGTCTTCGGGAATAGGCCCAAGGTGCCCTCCACAGGCTCACCACTCTGGGCCACCTCGGGAAGCTGCTTTCAGCATCAGCACCCCAGCTGCTTTGGCTGCTCCAGCTGTAGCTAAATTGGCCCCAGGGGTGGCTGGACCTGTAGCTTTGGAAAATACAGACCGGAAGCTTTGGTGGCATCCACGTAGTGTCATGTCTGCAGGCTTGCAAAATGCAAGATCTGTGGAAGCTTGGGAGCCTCTACCCTGATTTCAAAGGATATATGGGAAAGTCTGGGGGCCCAGGAAGTGATCTGTCACAAGAGAAGATTCATCACATGGAGTCTTCACTGGAGAAATGCCAAGAGGAAATGTGGGGTCAGAGTTGCAGCAGAAAACCCCCACCAAGGCCATGCCTAGTGGAGCTGTGGGAGAAGGACCGCCATGGAGACAATAGACGTGAAGAGCTACCAGCATGTAACCCAGCCTGCAAGAACTAAAGCATTACCTGAGACCAGAAAACCCACGGAAGTGGAGCTGCCTAAGGACTTGGGGACCCAATCCCTACACCAGCATGCAGAGGACATCAAACGTGGAATCAAGGTACATGATTCTGCCTTACTGGGTTTCAGATTTGCTTAGGACCTGTTACTCCATTCTTTTGGCCTATTTCTTCCTTTTTAAATGGGAATATGTACCCTAAGTTTGTTCTACCATTGTATCTTGGAAGTAGATAACTTGTTTTGACTTCACAGATGGGACTTTGAACTTTGGACTTTTGAGTTGAAACAAGCTAAGACTTTGGGGATGAAATGAATGTATTCGTATGTGAAAGGACATGAGTTTGGGGGGCCAGTGGCGGAATGCAGTGGATTGACTTGTGTACCCCTGAAGTTAATGTGTTGGAGGCTTGGTCCCCACTGTGACAATGTTAAGAGGATGGGAAATCCTATTATGATAATTGAAAGGTGGGGTCTTGAAGAGGTGATTAAGTTGAGGGTTTTATGGTGGTTGTGGGCCTGGTTCTGAGGGCTTTAAATGGAGAGCACAAGAGGAGCTCTCTCTGTCTCTGCTCCACCATTGTCTGCCATGTGAGACCCCAGCATTGCTGTAAAGCCACCACCAAGAAGACCCTCACCAGATGTGTTCCCTGGACTTTAGACTTCCTAGTCTCTGAAACTATAAGCAATAAATTTCATTTTATTTATAAAATACTCAGTTCCATTTATTTTGTTCTAAGTAAAAGAAATGTACTAAAACGCTTCTGTAAAATTTTTAATTCTTTTCACAACTGTGGCCTAATTCTGCTTAGCTGCAAGTACAATTGACTTCCAGTGTAATTGACATGATATTTTAGCAAAGTGCTCCAGAATCCTATAAGATCCTGTACCTTTAAACTTCTAACTTCTGAATTTATTCTATCTTCTCTAACATTTTCCCAAATTCCAAAAATTGCTTACTTTCAGGGCCCCTGTTAACACGTGTGTTGCCATTGTGTGGTTTAGGTTTAGTGCCTATCCTCTGTGCTGAAGCATTTCAGAAAGTGCCCTTTCTCTAGGCTGACACTGATCCTACTCACCCCTTGAGCAAGACACAGTTTGCACGTTTCTACCCATAGTCTTGCTTACATCTGGTTTGACGATGCTTTCTTTTATAATACTGCCAATCCTCTTCAAATGCCCTAGTGTAATTGTTTAATTTGTGTTACATAGCTAGCATCTCTTCATTGTTCTTAAAATATTGGTCTTCAGATTTTTCCTTTGCATTGATTTCAATTCTTTTAAAAAAAATGCATTAAAATAGTGTTTACCTCAATAATTGCATTTTTTTTGGTCACCCTCTTAAATTTTGTGCCTGAAATGAGTGCCTTACCTTAATACTGTCCCTGTCTAGTGGGTATATGATTTAGAATGGAAATTACTGAGTAGATGGTCAAGGACTTGAATTAGTGTGGAAATAGAACCAACATAAAACCAAGGTGTAGTTACAAATACTGCCTAAAACTAGACGATTTGAAAGCACAGGGAAAAGAGTATTAGGAAAGGCTTTTAGTTGGGTAGTTTTCAAGTCTTTAAAAAAATCTTACTTTGACCATGTAGACGTAGTTACTCCTATAAAATTATAGCTTCCAATGTGTGAAAAAACGAAAGTGAAAATATGCTAGTCACTCACTCAAGAAGAAGTGCTTCAACTCCTGGTTTAAAACTTGTAGAATGTAAAAAAAGTCCCATAACAGCCACAGTATATATTCCAGACATTCCAACTAACTCACCTATTTTAAAAAAGAGATAAATATAAAGTATTAATTTAACATCTACGGTAGCACACATTTTTACCAGAGATGAAAATATCAGATATCTTGATAGTACGGTGACTTTATAGAGAGGCTACCCCACTTGGTTTCAGCTGGAATGTATTTCAAACTATTACCACCACCCTTTTTCTTCCTCGGATTCATAACCAACTGTGTAGGAAAGTCTATAAGGAACATTCTTGCACTGCTTTGGCTTCAGATTATTGCTAACAACATGGAGCTCACAAAACTCTTCATGTACCCTAGAGCACATCTAGGGTGGATAGAGCACCATCTCCAGATAATTGTTTCAGAGAGATTCTGGAGGCGTGAAATGACAATGAGCTGATGAGTTCTTTACAGACTAGCCCGCTCCATATGCCTTCTTGTGAGACAGTGGAAGATAGAAATGGGTCGATCCTGTAATACACTAAGGAAGTCAGGCCAGCAGATACCCAATACCATCTACTTCCCTAATATAATTTGGTTTTGTTGCATGTACTGTGGGGAACTGAAAAGCATAAAAAACTGTGTGAAATAGTTCAACTGTGTCCAAGTAGTTCGATTAGAGTAGTTTCTCCCTTGAGCTTATGGATGTAGTATATTATCTCTTAAAAATTCAAATAATATGGTACAGTATACAGATCATATTTTTTTGAAAAGGAGAACATCCATAATTCCACTGCAAACACTTCAGGTATAATTTTAAAGAAAATTTCGAGTGGAATTTCTACTAGGCATAGTACTGTATTTGCCTAGAAGAAATAATGTGATAGATAAGTGACTTGAGAATAGAGAAAGAGACCCAAAAGGCAGCTTCAAGGATTGAAGGATAGTTGCTGAATTACTATACTGGAGACAGGTGATGAA